CTATGAGTTGAAATCAGGTCTACCGCAATGGGTACCTCGCTTGGAAATTTCGCACAACTGGATTGCAAAAGCGGGGAACAAGCGCCTTGGTCTCACGCCGCGATCCCTTTTGCAGAGTCGCTGGTAATCACTCTCGGCCTCTGCGCCCGGACGCGGTGTCCAGAAGAGGGCGCGCGCGGACCAGGTCTGCGCCAGAGATCTGAGCCTGCGGAGTCCGGTAGCAAGAACCCCGACCTCTAGGTTTCAACTACCCCACTCTCCCGAAGCTCCCGACCTGTGAAACCGAAGTTGGAAGTCAATCCACCAAAAAGCGACCTGGAGCTCCAGCTCTGCGCGCCTAGGCCTGTCAGAGGTTGGGACCCCAGTTTTGTCTCCATGTCTTAACCCGGATTTCGTCAGATTCTGAATCCGTGCCCTCTGCGCTGGCTGCTTGGAGCCTAGTATTCCTTCTTTCCCCAACTCTCACGTCTACACACCTGATAAAGGTGTATGTTTCTTTAACGATCAAAGACGGGGACAGCGGCGAGGGTAGTATCTTCCCTCTGGTTCCCCAGTCTTCCAGTATCTATACCTTTATTGCCATTATAAACATCAGACCCTCTTCCGTGCGGTGCGCAGTCTCCTAGCAGAGACCGCGGCAGACTCGGCCCGCGTCGGCTCGGGCTCAGGCCCTGCTGGGGCGGGCGCTGGGCTCTCCGACTGGGATAAGGGGCGTGTTTCCCCCCAGAACTGGCTCGGGGAACAATAGCGCTGCGGTGAAGTGCGAGGGAGTCAGTACCCGAGCCCGGGTGCCTTCCGGGACTTTTGTCGCCCCTCCAGGCGTCAGGTGCTAATCTCCGCACTGAATCCATCGGTTTTTGCCTTGAAAAAAAAAAAAAAAGAGAGAGAAAGAAAAGAGGTCACCTGCCCCCCGCACCCCCGAAGGTTCCCGGGACGTTGGAGAGGTGGGCCTTTGAGGCTCTGGGAATCTCCTCGCGGAGAGCGCGCCGCTTTACACTTCCCTTCTCCCGCCTCAGTGTCACTAATTGTGGCCCACCCGACTCCATTCCAGAAGCAAAATAGAAAGAAAGAGGAGAAAACTGGGGGATGGGTCTCGAAGCGGGAGACTCCACCCGGATCCTCTGCGTCCAGAACTTCCTCACTCCCGCCTTGGAAAGCCCCTCAGGCCCGCTATCCCGGACCGGACTCCGTCTTCGTAACAGGGCCCGCGCCTCCCCGCCCGCTCTTCGCCGCCAAGGCTCCCGGAGCCACCCACTCAGGGTTCCTGGGACGCAGACCCTAACGCCCCGGACGCCCCCTCGCTCTGCAGACAAAGAAGCCGGTGCCAGGACCCATTGCCTGTTCCTCTTCCTGGTCCAGTCAGGCCCGAACCGCAGAGATTCCCTCCTGGGTTAAAGACCCACACTCAGCTGTCCTACCGCAGGCCTCGGGTCGAGGGTGGGGCGCCCAGCTCTGGACCCTTGGTTCTTTGAGGGCCCCTTCCCCTCTTTCCCTGCGTCGGCTGTAGGAATCCCTGGTTTGGCAAACGGAGTCAAGTTCTGGGTTCTGAGCTCAGGGCTCTGGGCTGCTTAGGTGGACGCGCCGGCCTACTAGGCCGCCTGTGGCTACCGCTGGAGTGGGAGCGATGGAGGGACGCGGAGAATTTGCGTGCGCCAGTCTGTTCATATTTAATTTACAAAGGAGCCTTGGAACCCCGGCCGGGTGGTCTCCTTAGATGTTGCGTTCCTCGATCGTTTGTTTCTCTCATAACCCTCCCCAGCTCATTAAAATGCTCAACACTAAAATCAAGGTATTGATCTCAGAAGAGGCCCCAGCCCTGCGCCATCGACCCACCGAGTGAGACCCTACAGCCCGGCTTGAGGGCTGGGGTGCCATGTGCGCCCTGAGAGTCCTGTGTCGGTGGCAAGAAAGACTGGAGTGGGGGGCGCGTCTCTTGGAGTCTGTCCCCCTTCTTGTTCTGTGTGTGTGTGTGTGTGTGTAAGTGAGTTACTGGAGTGGGGGGCGCGTCTCTTGGAGTCTGTCCCCCTTCTTGTTCTGGCCAGCATCTCTGACCCCAGTGCTACTGTAAGGTTTTAGCCAAATGCTTCGGCCTCCTCCCGCCTCCACCTCCTTATCGCAAAAATAAATGCCGGGGTTTCGCCAAGATACAGAGAGAGTCTTCAAGTCTTCTGAGGCTGACTGTTGTGTGAGAGTGTGAGACTGAGGGCTGTTGCCGGCCCCCGCGGCTTTGGCGCAGGGTGTGTGGGGGTGACGGTGTGATTGTTTGTAAGGCGGTGAAGTTAGAACTGGTGTGAGGAGACAGATGCTCGACCTTTGAGTCCCCAGTCCGCAGTGTTCCAAGAAGCTCACACATTTTGTAGTGTTCCTGTCTTTGCAACTGTCCGTTGTAGCCCCTGTTCCAGGCTGGAGCACAGCAGGCCCGCAGGAAAGGTGTTTGGGTGTGTTCAGGCCGGCAAGGTTGATCCGGCGCACGCCATCCTACCCATAAGAGCGCACAGGTCTGGACCCTGGGTTTCAAGCTCTGGTTTAGCCACTAGAGGCAAGATGAAAAAGAGTGTAGCTTTCAGAGGCAGGACATGGGCGGAGGTGGGTAGAGGAGGGGGAGATTGCCTCACCGCGCACTTTGCGGTGCCGCGCGTTCTCGTCACGGGATCGGACTGGCAGGGGGCGGGGGAGATGTGGCTTGGATCTGCACAGATCCAGGCAAAAAAATACGGCAGGGAGGGTGAGGCACTCTGCTAACACTATCAATTATGCATCGTGTTGAACGTGCCTTCGGGAAGGCTAGGGGAGTGTGGGAGGCCAGAGTCGGTGCGCGCTGGGCTGCGCTCTTCTCAGTCGGTACCGTTGGAGGTTTGTCTGCGCCACAGCCCACATTTGCAAAAAGAGTTTAAAGGGAAAGACACGCCTTCCCCCCAACACCAGCCGCACTCCTTTCCTTCCCCCAAACTGCTCAAAGATGGTTTGTCTCACGTGTTGCGGGGCGTAAAAGCTGCTCGCATTCAATTAGCAGCAAAGCTCTTGGGCGCTGGCGGGACGGGCGCCGAGGGTGAGTGCGCGTGAATGTGCGTGCGGGAAAGGGAGAATGGGGAGTGTCCCGGGTGAGGAGTGTGTGTGCAAATGAGAGTGAACGTAGCGAAAGCTCGACACCTGGACGCGATTATTACATTAGGATGGAAACATCCAACATGTGAAGGGCAGTCGAGGCGCGGGTGAGGGTGTGTGTGTGAATGCGAATATATCTGAACCTTGGGAGGTCGATGTGGAAAGGGATAGTGACAATGGCAGCAAGTGTATAAATGTGGGGGACGTAGGTTATGGGGGTGCGTTCAACTGGAAAGTGCCGAGCCTTGAGCGCGGGGGAGCCTCGGGTGACCAACGAGTCTTGCCTTGAGCAGAGTCTTTAACAAACGTGGAGGATTCGGGAGGTGGGAGAGGCTGTCCGCGTACCCGCTGAGTTCGGGAGCGCGCTCAGACTCTCTCCAACCTGCAGCCTGAGAGGCGTAGGGTGGGAGGGGGAAAACGAGAAAGGAGTCCCCCCCAACTCACCCATTCCTTTTCTTGCCCCTCCCTCGTTTCTCCTGGACAGCAGCAGCAACAGATGCCTGGGAGCATCAGTAGTCCCCGCGTGGCGAAACAGCTTGGAGAGTAGGGCTTCTTGCCGGAGGGCAGAGCGCAGTCTTCCAGCAGCAGGTAAGCTTTGGAGATGGCTCCACAACCTTGACCCAGGTGGGGTGGGTCCCTCCTAGAGCGCTGGACCTCGCCGGTGGGGGCTGGGAGAGGACAGAGGGAGGGGGCCTCCCGGGGATCGAAAGCGGAGCGGGGGACCCGGGTTCCCAAGGTGGGAGGGACTCTGCCAAGTCTGACAGCCTCCCCCCGCCCCCCAGGGGTGCGGGTGTGTGTGTGTGTGTGTGTGTAAGTGAGTTTGTGTGGCTAGGGATGAGAAGGTTTTCTGGGGGAGAAAGCTGTGAAATCGTGAAGCTTCCAGGGTTTCATCAACTTGAAGCAGTCCTCCTATGGCCCTTGGGAGGGACCCCTCTGTCTCGCAGGGCCCTAGAGAGATCCAAAGGGATGCTGGGCTGGGACTATTCCCCAACAATCCTGTACTGAACCTCCGAGGGGGACCGCCCTTTCAGGATGGAAGGTTGACCGTGCAGCCCTAGCTCTCCCCGATTAGGAGCAGGAGACTTTGGCTGAAGCCTTAAGTCCTCCTCCGGGTCTGCTTTCCGGACCCCACCACTCCGGGCGCCTGCCCCAAGTTCAAGTCTTAGGCGTTGCTGATCAGCTGGGCTGGGAAAGCCAAGGATTTCAGACGCGCAATCCAGTGCGTCCCTGTGTCCTTATGTGTGGGGTCAATTCAAGTGAGGGCGTGTGTCCTTGTTTGTCAGTTCTCACAATAGACAGGAAAACGCTTTGCACCGTGGTAGAAAACTATACAAATGCCGGTTCCCGTTGGGAGAACAATGAGGTGTCTAGGGTCTATTGCACCCTTGCCTGGGTGTCCGTCTGTGTTTGTGTGTATGTGAAATGTGTTGTGAACCTCCTGATGGCGCAGAGGAGCCCTAGGCCCCTGCAGAAGTTGGCGGATTGATGGCGATACTGTGTCTGTATGGGCGTGTGCGAGTGCTGTGCGTGGGACAAAGGGAAGACAGCTGGTCACGGACAAAGATACCCTTTCTATGGATCCTTCTCACGGCCTGAGAGGAGTCTCCATAACAGAGAAAGGTCAGTTCTGCGAGTCGCCGATCCGGCGGAGAGGTCAGTGCTGGGCTGTGCGGGGTGAGGGGACAGATCAGAAAATACGAGAAGTATGAGGTTACTGGTTATCGGGTCCAAGGCCTCGAGAGTGAGTACCTACAGAATCCAGGGATTTCTGTGAGAATTCTCCACATAGAAAAGGTTGAGGGAACTTATAGGGGAGACAAGCTGGGGCTCAACGAGTCCCCCCCCCGCCCCGCCTCCCCCCCCCCCCCCCCCCCCTTCCATCTGCAGAATCCGCGATGTCGTTCCTGAGAACCCTGTGGCTGGCCTGGGCGCTGCTCCGAGTGGTCAGAGCATGCCCTGAGCCCTGCGCCTGCGTGGACAAGTATGCGCATCAATTTGCAGACTGTGCCTACAAGGAGTTACGCGAAGTACCCGAGGGGCTACCAGCCAACGTGACTACGCTTAGTCTATCGGCCAACAAGATCACCGTGCTGCGGCGCGGGGCCTTCGCCAACGTCACCCAGGTCACATCTCTGTGGCTGGCACACAACGAAGTGCGCACCGTGGAACCCGGATCGCTGGCAGTGCTGAGCCAGCTCAAGAACCTCGACCTGAGTCACAACCTCATATCCAGTTTCCCATGGAGCGATCTCCGTAACCTGAGCGCTCTGCAGTTGCTCAAAATGAATCACAACCGCTTAGGCTCACTGCCGGGCGACGCGCTCGGCGCGTTGCCTGACCTGCGCTCCCTGCGTATTAACAACAACCGCCTCCGTACGCTAGCTCCGGGCACTTTCGACGAATTGAGCGCATTGTCTCACCTGCAGCTCTATCACAACCCTTTCCACTGCGGCTGCGGCCTTGTGTGGCTGCAGGCATGGGCAGCGAGCACCAGAGTCTCGCTGCCGGAACCCGACTCCATTGCTTGCGCCTCGCCTCCCGCGCTTCAGGGGGTGCCGGTGCACCGTCTGCCCACTTTGCCCTGTGCACCTCCCAGTGTGCGTCTGAGCGCCGAGCCGGCGCCTGAGGCACCTGGCAGCCCATTGCGCGCCGGGCTGGCGCTAGTGCTGCATTGCACAGCCGAAGGCCACCCGACGCCCCGCCTGCAATGGCACCTTCAGATCCCCGGTGGCACTGTAGTTTTAGAACCGCTGGTCTTGAGAGAGGAGGACGACGGGGATGGGGCTGAGGAGGGGGAGGGGGAAGGGGATGGAGACGGGCCGACGCAGACCGAGGCCCCGACCCCGACTCCAGCACCCGCTTGGCCCGCACCCCCAGCTACCCCACGTTTCCTGGCCCTTGCAAACGGTTCCCTGTTGGTGCCCCTCCTGAGCGCCAAGGAGGCTGGCGTCTACACCTGCCGTGCACACAACGAGCTGGGCACCAACTCGACGTCTATACGGGTAGCAGTGGCAGCATCAGGGCCCCCGAAGCACGCGGCCGGCGCGGGGGGAGAACCTATTGGGCAGATTCCAATCTCTGAGCGCAAGTTCACAGCCAAAGGTCGGGGCAACAGCGTCCTGTCTTCTAAGCCCGAGAGCAAAACCAAAGACCAAGGCCTGGCCCGCGTCAGCGTCTTCGGAGAAACAGAGGCGGGGCCCCAGGAGGAAACAGGTGAGGAGGGAGAGGAGGCCGAAGACCTGGTCCCCGCGGACCCCGGAGAGGAGCAGCGCTGCGGCCACGGGGATCCCTCACGGTATGTGTCCAACCACGCATTCAACCAGAGCACGGACCTCAAACCCCACGTCTTCGAGCTAGGCGTCATCGCTCTGGACGTGGCGGAGCGTGAGGCTCGCGTGCAGCTAACGCCGCTGGCGGCGCGCTGGAGCCCAGGGCCCCGCGGGGCCGAGGGAGCAGGGAGGCCTGGGCGGCGGCCCATGCGCCTACTCTATCTATGCCCAGCCGGGGGCGGGGCGGCCGTGCAGTGGTCGCGCGTGGAGGAGGGCGTCAACGCCTATTGGTTCCGCGGCCTGCGTCCTGGTACCAACTATTCCGTATGCCTGGCGCTGGCTGGAGAAGCGTGTCACGTGCAGGTGGTGTTCGCCACCAAAAAGGAGCTGCCCTCACTACTGGTCATCGTGGCGGTGAGCGTTTTCCTCCTGGTGCTGGCCACCGTACCCCTGATGGGCGCTGCTTGCTGCCATCTGCTGGCCAAACACCCCGGCAAGCCCTACCGCCTTATCTTGAGGCCCCAGGCCCCAGACCCCATGGAGAAGCGCATTGCTGCCGACTTTGACCCGCGTGCCTCCTACCTCGAATCGGAGAAAAGCTACCCGGCAGGTGGCGAAGCGGGCGGTGAGGAGCCAGGGGAGGCCCCTGGAGAGGGCCTGGATGAAGATGCAGAGCAAGGGGACCCTAGTGGGGACCTGCAGAGGGAGGAGAGTCTGGCGGCCTGCTCGCTGGTGGAGTCCCATTCCAAAGCCAACCAAGAGGAGTTCGAGGCGGGCTCCGAGTACAGCGACCGGCTGCCCCTGGGCGCCGAGGCAGTCAATATTGCCCAGGAGATTAACGGCAACTACAGGCAGACTGCGGGCTGAGCCTTGGGCCCACCCTGCCTGCCCATTCCCACCCGCCTTGGGACACTGGGTCCCAAGAAGCAGAAACCTTGGGCTGGCAGGACGTATCACCCCATCCCACCCTGGGTTCACTTACTCGGCCCTTTTGACACTTCCCAACCTTGAATACTGAGGACACCTAGTAGAGAGGGGAGCGATTTCACCTGTCCCAAGAACCCACCGCCTGCGCGGACACTCCCTCCTCTCAAGCACAGTTTCCCGCTCCATCCTTCTACAAATAAGCCACGACTCACAACTTCTGTATAGGGTGTGTGTGACGAAATCCACGACCTTCCATTCCCGTCGCATGTTACCTGCGGGGGGCAACCAGTGGCTGGGTGGCTGTCTTTAAATTTGGCAGTTTCTAAGCCAATCCCCACCAGCGGGTGGGCTGTTTCTACGCCCCACCACCCACCCAACCGTGGACTCCAGATCCAAAGGAAATAGAAGACCTTGAAAACATCTGTTGGACCCCTGACAGATGTCCCTAGTGCGGAGCGCAGAGGGGGTACCCTCTCGACCCCTCTCCCCCTCCCTTTTCCGGGGCGTCAGGATCCGGTGGCATCAGGGGAGATAATTTTCCCTTTGACCCTTAGTTTTTGTTTGAAAGAATCCCTCCCAACTGGGAACCAAACCCCCTGTCCTCTTACGCACACTTTCCTCCACCCCCAGCTGGCCCTAGCCAGCTTCTGACCAGCTGGAGCAGAGCCGAGTGCCTGGGGCGCCTTTCGGCTCAGTGGTCTGATTTTCACATTTTCGTTCTTTTCAAAGACAAGCGACACTCCCGGGCCTGGTGCTAATAGCCCTTTCCCAGCCTCTGGGAAAAGTAGATGTGTGTAAAGAAGGGGAATGAGAATCCTTTTTCTCTGGAGCTCTCTCCAACTTAAAGCGCCGCGGGACTGCGTGACCCTTTTCCGCTGAGGAGGCGGATTTGGCCCCAATCAAATTTGTTGTCAATGTGTTGGTGTGTTGTCGCAGGTTGATGCAGCTTCCGCGGTTCCTGGGTGTCCAGACCCCAGCCAGAGAAAGCTGTGGACATAGGAAGCCAACTGTGACCCCTGGTTCGTTCCCCTCGTGGGTACTTGCGCCCAGCGGGACTGCCGCTAGATCGGCCCCGCCCCTGCCCTCTGTCCCCGAAAATCGCTTTTGCCCGGCGTGTAGTCCTAGACGACGTGCTCTGTAGGGAAGTCTGTGTCCGTTGTTAAGTGACTGTAGTGTAGACGGGGCGGGCGGGGAGGGAGGGAGGTGGAGGGCGGGCGTGGCAACTTGGGCCCGGGGTCCCTGTTCGTTGAAGGAAAGCCTCGGGGTGGGGTGGGGGGGGGGTTCGAGCCTGTGGGCAGACCCTCTTTCGAAGCGCAGCACAAGTGCGGCCCGGGACAAAATAACCCCCGGAGCCCGCGCCCTTTTCTATTCGCGTCTGTATGTAAACCGTCAATAAACAATAGGTTTGAACTGGGCTCAGTGACTCTTTGTCGGGGAACAAAGGAAGGAGGCTTGGGGCACACGACAGAGAAAACTGAAGGGGAAAGGAGACTCTAGAACCCTTGGGTCTGAGTCTTTTGTGTGATTTTGTATTTGTCTGACAGTTCTGTGATTTTGCCAAGTGTTTGTAAAGGAAAGCCTGCTTTAGCGTCTCCGACTCCTGGGTAGAAGGCGAAGTCACATGGATGATAGTGGGGGTGGGGAGGCTGGAAGGGAGTGGAGTAGAGGGCGGGCAAAAAGGAAGGGGTGGATCTCTGCACACTCTGAGCTGCAGAAATACGTGAATGGTGCGTGTGCTTGTGTGTGGGGGTGTGTGGACTACCTAGTTTCTGTGTGTCAACACCAGCCTGAGTTTTCGGAGAACCCAGTGTGGGGATTCCTAGACTTCAGCTGTGACTTACACCAGAGAAGTTATATTAAATATGTCATTGTTGTTAGTGCAAGTGCTGTTGAGTCAGTTCCCAACTCATAGGAACCTGTATAGTGTTTCCAAGGAGCAGCTGGTGGGTTTGAACCACCCACCTTGTGGTTGGTAGTCCACTGTTTATCCTACAGGACTCCTTTTCATTGAATATAAACAACAGAGAAAGCTGGCAGCTTTAGCCCCTGGAGCCAAGTGTGTGGGGGTGAGGGTGGGGCTGCTGGTGGGAGGTGTTCAGTGAACTCTACACGGACATGTGGCAGGGAGAATCTCAGTATGTGCTAAGGTTTGTGCACATATAAATCAGTGCTGAGTGGAGACTGACTTAATACTCCTAGAAATGGGGGGCCTTGGGTGGGGAACAGGAGAGACCAGACCGGGCATCTGAAGTGGATATGGTTTCAGGAGGCTGGGTTCATACACACACACACACACACACACACACACACACACACACACACACACACACTCCAAGATCTCCAAGGTAAGGAGGGAGTAGCCAAGAATGGGAGGAGAAAGGACCAGAAATTAGAGTCTGGAGCAGATGAGGATTGCAACCCTCCCTTCTTTCTACCTGCTTCCCATCTCTTGTCCTCCCCCACCCTCTCTGGGGTACCAGGCCCTTCTACTTGGACAGGTGTCAGGATCCAAACACCCAGCATCCTCTCCTAGCCCTAGGCCTGCCGATGGGCACAATGATTGCTTTGCAAATTGACCCACAGATGGATGACTGTATTTTGGCACAGGCCAAGATAGGCCAGTGAGTGCTCATCAATTTGGATTCAGCCCAATCCTCTAGCCATGGGTGTCTGTGGGAAAAAGGGTTCCTTCATGTCTCTCATTGTGACAATCACCTAGGGTCATGAATTTCTGCAGAGGAATGTTCAGGAAAACTGAGTATCCTGCCCTTGCTTTGTCGGCCAAGCTGTGTACTGAAGGAGCACACACCCTGTTCAGCGAGGACTTGTACTCTCTGGACAAGCCCAAGCCCAAAGGCTGCACCCAGAGGACAGGAACAGCACATGCTGGAGGTGAAGAACCAACGCCCCAACACTTTGCTGACTGCCCTCAGAGATTCCAGCCTCTCAGAAACTCTGGAGTTTCTCTCTAAATGTTTGATACTTGCACAGAATGGCCCCTACCCTCTGGCTTCCCTTCACATTTCATTTCTCTGCCTCCTTTCCTCTATTCTTTCTGTTTTGTTCTTCTTACTCCCTCCCCCTTTTCTTCTTCAAGGAACCTCATAACATTTCAGGGTGGAAGAGACCCTGAAGGCTTGCTAGTTCAACAACCCATTTGAGGTTAAATTCATTTCTATAATACCCCTGTCTGGTGGCTGCACAACATCAGTTTGTATTTATCCAGAAAAGGTGAGTTCATGATTTAGTTCCTCTCCCAAGGGACCACTTGGTGAGCAGTTCAAAATATGTCTCCCCTTGCTTCCACTCCACAGGCCTGTCTGCCTGGCTGTGGGAATGTTAAGGAGCCTGGGGGCAGAATCCTCAGCTCCATCCCTCATTCCAGGATACAAAGCTTTTTATCCAGCGCATCTTCTCTGAGTGCCTGCTATGTGTTTCAGGTGCTGTGCTGTGTTAGCTTAGCTTTCTCCACTTCCTTCTGTCATGAAACATATTTGGATGCTACACAGGAATGGAGTCTAATAAGCTGAAAAAGCGTGTATTTGCAAGCATATACTAGGGGACCTGGAAAATGGTCAGAGAATGTAATCTGACAGGTGTAACCTTGGATCTCAGTGCAATTGATCAAGAGCAGTAATTTTTTGAGCTACAGAAACCAGATGCCCAGGATGTGGCCTTGGATCAGATCAGAAACCTGTCTGCAGAAAGGTGATTTGAAAGGCGTGCCCTCCCCACATGTGTTTCTAAAAGACCAGTCAGAATGAGAACCATCTTGAAGATCATTATTAGAGAAAGTCCATCAATAAAAGAGTAGAGAGGGAGGGGGGCATTCTTTGAGGAAAAAGGAACTGATGTTGGGTCCTCTGCTTCCCCATCTTGCATCTAGAACCGTCCTCCATCCATGACATCTAAGTCATAACAAGGGATGCTAACATCTATGAAGACTGAGTCAGTAAGTGTACTATTACTCGCAGATGGGGATGTTAACCTCAGTTTTCCCTCTTGGATCTCAGGAGGATGCATTGATGGTTGGTAAGGAATTTACTATGAGTACTTCAGTCCAGATTTATTAGCATCAGAGCCCCAGTTATGAGACACTCTGCAGGAAGAGGGGCCTTCTCTCTGCATAAAGGGCATTGTATGTAGAGATAGAAGGATGCCTGCGAGAGCACCGGGCAGGAGAAGTTAGATGGACGTGCCCATTAAGGCACAAGGTTCTTACACTGAGGAAAGAGTCATGCCCAGGTACCAGGACAGAAGAAAGTTCCACACAGAGGCAATACCTATACCTTATTAATGTACAATAAAATGATATTGACAGGACCCAGAAAATTGGGGAAGGAGCAATCAGAGCCATTTCAGTTGTAATCTATCAATTAATTGATTGCATTTGAAACACACCCACCACACATATGTGTTCAATGACAAGATTTTGCCTTAAGACTTAATAAAGAATAACATAATATTGAAAATGAAAGATCTGCTTGTGAGTAGAATATAAAAGAGATTGTATTATAAAATTGTCTTGTAACATAGTGTTAGGTTCCAAATATGGTCACTGTTCCTAATGAAGCTTGTTACGGATTAAAAATGAAAAAAAGTAGCCATTCAGAGACTCCATGATGGGTTGGAAATAAAATTAACCTTTTGGGTTTAAATTACTTGGAAGGACTTTGTATTGTTCTTTCATTGACTAAGGAATTGAAGTAATTTGAAGATGTTATGTTTTTTTTAAAGTGTGAAAATTGTGTGTGATTTGTCTGGACATGCTAATAATTAAGTTGAAGTCTACATGGAATAAGGAGAATAAAAGTGTTTATATTTTTACTAACTGTTTACTGTTTGAGCATGGCCCCATGTGTATTTGGAGTTAATTTGGTTTGGACAAATTAGATGCATTTTCTCTGAGCAACACTCCAGCAAACTAGCCATTAAATTGA